CCTCTTGTCTACATAGTTCTTCTAGAAAAATCCATATCTTATTCCAAATCCTACTTTCGGGCTACATACTATTGAATGTCTTTCTATCCAGCCAGTTTTGACTGGACCCTATAGAAGCCACTATCTCTTTGTCCTGGGTTTGGTCTGTGTTCTGCATATCCTCTTGCTGCAAACTCCAGATCCTTCCACTGTGGCTCACATGTGTTCCTGACCCATTACACTTCCGCAGAAGAACAGAAGTAGGACGGGCAGGTGATGGAGCTGTTGCTCTGAGGCTATAGTGGGGCACAAAACCACCTTGAAGATCATCTTGCCACCTTGGCATCTTTATTTTCCCCTCCAATTAATTTATTTACATCTTAGCTTCATGGTTCAACATGGTGGGCTTGTATGGGATCTGATTTTCAGAACTGAAAGCAAGTGCAGAAATCAATGGGCAATGAGCTGTAACATTTGACAAAAGACTATTGACAGATTGTAACCTTGCTCCCCTAGGAGATAAGACCAGAATATAAATATATGCAAATAATATACTAGTTGGCTGATGGCTGGCATTGAGTGAATCTTGGTAGGGATTGACAGGGGTGCGTGAGGGTGTGCGTGCGTGTGTCTGTGTGTGTGTGTGTGTGTGTGTGTGTGATAAGCCCATGCACAAAGTGGACGTTGTACCTCTAGGTAACACGTTCCCTGGGCTACCTCATGGCCGAGCTCTATCTTTTTTTTTTTTTTTTTTTTGTTGCCGAGCTCTATCTTGTAGGACAAAAGATGAACTGCACCCCACTCAGGCACTGGAAAATGTTGGTGTCCTCCCCAGAAACAAAAGGGAGGGACCCCAGCGATGTCTATAGGTTGCATGCAGTTTAAAGAATGGCTGTCATAGGCTTTCATAGTGAACAGTATAGGAAGAGGATTGTACCAGCTCATTAATTTGGGCAAGGACCAGAGTCTGCGGTTCTTATTCCTGATGCTTCGTAAACATTGGATGAAAGTGAGTCTTCATAGTTCCTCTTGGCAGCAGATCTGTCTGTGAGTCTCAGGCCTTCCATGTAGCTGAGAGCAGCACGGAGCAGGGCTGCATCCAGCTCATTCATCCTCTCTCCCTTTTTTGTGGGACAGGAGGTTGGGTTTTTGAAGATGGATCCACAGAGTTCTCTGTCCTCTAATGTATTTTTCACGGTCTGGAAAGGAAAGGTCTTGAATGCCGGGGAGACATGATTTTATTCCTTGTCAGTTCAAAGTACCAAAATACGTTTGGTCTGGGCTCATTTAGTGAGACACATATTTTAACATGAAACCAATCTCTGTTCGAGGGATGGACACTTTGGGGAGAAATGCATTGTGACTTTTATTTTGACCCATTTGTATTCTGATATGCTTGCGTAGTTTGAGCCTTGTCTTAATTACAATCTCAGGCAGGATGACCGCCCTGTAGAGAATCATCCTAAAATACCCCACCAAGGTATAAATCACATCAAAACGCCAGTCTGAAATATTCCTCTTTGTGCAACCTTTGCAGAGAAAGCGTGCTAGAAAGCCCTTCTTCACTTTCAAATTGTATGTATTCAATGAAACTATGATTTTTATTTTTTTTCATTAAAATTTTTTATTCGGCTAATTCCTTTTCTAGTGTGCCTTTTTTATTTTGGGAAAAATAAAAAAAATACAATATATGAAACAGATGTATGTATATAAGTATATGTAATATATGCTATATACTAAATCTATATGTTTATATGCATATATAACCACATTTCACCCCTTGAGAAATACTTTGCGTGTGTGAGGTTTACATGGGAGGACTTTTATTTTTTTGTCCTCAGATGTATTGGTAGGTTTTTTTTTTTTTAATGATCATGAGGCATATTTAATAGATTTATTTTAAAATTCTTTATGACTTGTAATGTTAAAACTTTTAAAGTTGACCAATACTTGAATGTGTGACGTATACACACACACATCATAATCTTTACTTGTACCCACAGATACTTAATCATTTACATGGCCACCAGAATTCCAAACTGGATGACTCAGATCTCTGGTTCTCACTCTGTGGGGATGCTGCCCCCAGGGCTCATTTAGCAATGTCTGGAGACATTTTTGATGGTGAAAATTGGGTGGGGAGGTGTTACTGGTATCTACCAGCTGGAGACCAGGGAGGCTGCCCCACCCCCTACAGGGCACAGGACGGCACCCACCAGAAAGAACTATATGGTCCACAATGTCAACAGTGCCGAGGTTCAGAAACCGTGGGTTTCAGATTGTATGACTTGTACGCAAATTAGCCAAATTTCAAAAAAGCGAGGAAATAAGGTAGCCCTGAACGTATGTACATTACGTAGAAAGTGCTCACATCCCCCTGGGTACCTTCTCCTAGGTTCTGCTGGTCTGGCCTCAAAACCCTTTTGGGGGTCAGGGGAGGTAAATTTGGGCAGAGGAGAGACTTGATCCTTGGACTCAGCATGAAGTCTAGACCTGACCCTCCTTGTAATGCATATGTGGCTCGTAGAAAGTCTCACCCACGTTGAGTTGGAGAAGTGTGGAGTGGGCCAGAATTTCCCAATGGAGCTAACTTTGTAAGTGCTGACACAAACCCACCGAGTCCCACCTCTGCTGAGCTCTGCATTCCAGGGACGATGTGCTGCCTCACGTGCACCTTCTCATTTCATTCTCAGGCAGTGATGAACAGATCAGGAAAGGGAAGCTCAAAGATTTTAAAGTCCTTGCTCTACACTTGCTCAGCACCAATCCTGGGCTGACGTCACAGCCTGTGCATTTTGTCTCTGTACGCAGGATTCTTTCAAGCACGCCTGTGGTCAACATCCTAGCATTTTGTGTTTATTGAGTGGGCATTGTCTCTGCCCTACACCTTTGCATAGTGCCTCATTCCTGCTCACCAGACCCCATGTGAAGAAGGTACGATAGAGCATATTTGCCTAGATCCCAGGCAGCGCGGCTCCCTTTCCTCATCTCACAGACTTAGCATTCGAGGACCCAAGTCCGCCAGAGTCACAAATCAATGGTGTCTCCTTTTATCGCCAGGAAGGCCCCAGAAGGAGCAGCTAATACTGATTCAAAATCGGAAGGGCTTTTTCAGGAAAACAAAAGATTCCAAACATGTCATCACCTCTTTCCTTGTTCTTGCCTGCCTCCTAATTATTCAGAGATTGGATCACCGTGTGGCAGAAATCCAAATGTTGTCCACGGCAGAATTCAAAGATAGAAGCAAACACATACATCCACCATTTGGTGTGATGCTATTTTTCACTTTCAATGGTACAACTCAGACTCGGAGTGCATTTTCACTCAGCTCTGATGAACTTGGCCCAGGGTGTCAGCGACTATGGAATTTCCTCCAGAGGTGGTGTAGCTCCAGTAGCTTTCCCTTAAAAAAAAAAAAAAAAAAGAGCTTGTTGATATATTAGTCAATAAGTGCTCAACTGTCCACTTAAATGCATCATTATCCTCTAGTCCAGAAATACTCTGAATCACCCACGACATCTTTCCAGGCACGTGTGTCTGTTTTTGAGTTGAAGAACGCTCTATTTAAAGCTATAGTGCTTGCAACACCTAATGTAATGTTTTCTTTCCCTAATGGGTCATTTACAATCCTCTCCCAGTCAGGCCCAACGTTCTGTATTGTCATAAGAGGAATGATTTATCTAGTGAGAGTCATAGGTTCTACATCCAGACAACTCTGGGAGATCCCACTCAACGGAGGGTAGCTCAAAGGTACCATCAGCTTTCAAAATGGGCTACTTGGGGCGCCTGGGTGGCTCAGTCGGTTAAGCGTCTGCCTTCAGCTCAGGTCATGATCTCGGAGTCCTGGGATCGAGCCCCTCGTCGGTCTCCCAGCTCAGCGGGGAGCCTACCTCTCTCTCTCAAATAAGTAAATAAAATCTTAAAAAAAAGTTTAAATGGGCTGCACAAACAAACAAAAATAAATAAAATGGGCTGTGAGGTGAAAGGTTTGAGGTGGATGGCTTTATGTGAAAATCGGGACGGCCGTATCGACGCTTTTAGTTATGACGGCACATGCTACAGCCTATGTGTGAATTGTTCCATCTTGCTCACTTTTTACGAGGAGCAGAGTTCTAGGGTGATGATGTGTGTAGCCTCATGGTATACACCACGGAATAGCCCGAGAAGGGTTAGAATCCAGAGCCCACGCTCTTCCCGTTAGGTCATGCTCCGTTTGGGTGTCTGATAAATATCCACACGACATAAAGCCCTGTCCCACATTTCTCCTACTCTCATACCAAAAACCGTCGATAGGCTGCATGCATATCCCCTTAGGGAGATGTGGCAGTTTCCTTAGACATTTGAGAAACACTGTTTTGGGGCTACCTATCCACTGACTGACCAGTCTTTGTAAATAGTGAAATTGGGAGACATCGTTACAGTCTTCTGAACGAGATGTGTAACTTTTGGGGATTTGTGTGTTGACTCAACGGAGACTTGTTGAATATTTTCTAAATGCCGTGCATCGTTCCAGATCATGGGGTGCCCAGCAAGAATTAAGGCAAGTCATGTTCTTGCTAGATTCTTCTCCGTGGAGATGTGGGTGGACAGATTCATCAGTGAATGAGCATTTCGTCGAGTGATGTTGAGTGTTGCAGGGAAGACCTGTGGGTTGCTCGGCTTCCCTTGGCTTCATTATTCTCATCTGCTTTCTTTCCCCATTAGGCGGACTGCTCTGCCTTGGAGTTTTCCTAAGGAATCCTTGTCCTTGGGAGGTGTCGGATGGTCACCGTGTCCTTGGAGCCTCACACCTGCTGGAATTCCCTTCCGGGATTAAGAGAGGGCTGCTCTCTCCTGCAATGGGCTGCCGAGAAGACAGCTGGGTGTGTCCTTAACCTCGGGCTCTGTCTATGACCCATCTCGGAGGCTCCTCTCCTGGGTCTTCCGCTCCCTGGAAAGCCCTCTCTGTCTGCAGGCTCGCTTCCCGGCTTTGCTTGCTTGGAGTTGCATCACACAGACCCCCACGGATGTGGCAGTGAACAATGTCGAGACCCAAGGGACTGTTATGGCTGCCACTGTTCTTCACCCCGGTCTGCGTCATGTTGAACTCCAACGTTCTCCTGTGGATAACCGCTCTTGCCATTCGCTTCACGCTCATTGACAGCCAAGCACAGTATCCAGTCGTCAACACAAATTATGGCAAAATTCGGGGCCTAAGAACACCATTGCCCAATGAGATTTTGGGTCCCGTGGAGCAATACTTGGGGGTCCCCTATGCCTCACCTCCCACTGGAGAGAGGCGGTTTCAGCCCCCAGAACCCCCATCCTCATGGACTGGAGTTCGAAATGCCACCCAGTTCGCGGCTGTGTGCCCCCAACACCTAGATGAGAGGTCTTTATTGCACGATATGCTGCCCATCTGGTTTACTGCCAATTTGGATACTTTAATGACCTATGTTCAAGATCAAAATGAAGACTGCCTTTACCTAAATATCTACGTGCCCACCGAAGATGGTAAGTACTTTATTGAGAACAGAAAATAGCACCTGCTCACTCGGGTGTCAGATTGGCCAAGAGGCATTTACAATATCTTGTGCATGATTTTTTTCCTATAACCCAGTTATTTTCTTTTTCATATTCTGAATGTAGCTATTGCCCTACCTTATAAATCATGACACTTGTATTTGTTGAGCATCTAAGAAATGGACAATGCTATAATTAATGACTTAATTATTATCATGTATTGCCTTTTCAGCATGGTAACAGGGTTTCTTTGAAGTTGGTCACCAGTCTGAGCATACACAGTTATGTAGTATACCTGCATCATCTATAAAGGAAAATGAAATCTAGAGAAAACAATAGAATTAAGAACATTATCATGCTCGAGTTAGCAAACTGAAGATTATAAGGCATGGTTTCTTTTGCTTTAATGCCTTAAGATTTTAGCTCTCCCTCCCTCCCTCCCTCCCTCCCTTCCTTCCTTCCTTCCTTCCTTCCTTCCTTCCTTCCTTCTTTCCTTCTCCCTTTCTTTCTCTCTCTCTCTCTTTCTCTCTCTCTCTTTCTTTCTTTCTTTTTCTTTCTATTGAGGCTTGAAAGGAAAACCACAGATTGTTTTAAATACAGAAGCAAGGGATATTTCATAAATGGTTGGATTTCTTTGTTTAGAATCTGTGTTGCTAACATCAATTTGCACCTTGTTTCCTCCCAATATTCACAGCAATCAAATGGCAGACGGGTGTCCTTAGATGATTCTAGCTACGTTAGGAAATAATGTGCTTGCTTGAACAAAATGGCTCCTGTGTTTTCAATAACACAGCAGTGAAAATCTGTAAAAAACAATGATGTTTGATTTATTAATTTAATCCAATGGTAGTAAAATTTGATTATCTCCTTCTCTGTGTAGGTTTCAAATTAAAAACATTTCTTTAGAAAGGCTAACCAGACTAAAGTTACACCACAATGTGAACACATTCCTCATTTACCATTTGCATGTGCTATTTTTAGACAAGGAGCAAGAAACCCTGGAACATAAATCTTCCTGGAACTAAAAGAAGTAATTTACAGAATCAGAGACATCATCTACTGTAGAAACTGCAGTGTGTCCTTTGCAACTTTTAGGGGAGAAATTCCATTTTTCTTTCCCTTGAATATTCGAAGAATGATTTTCAGTTGAGATTTGGCTAAAGGTCTGAAAGAGAGGATTACATTTTCCACGATCTCCCAAGTTGTCCTGGACCCGCCATATTGTGCTTTCTGCACATAAATGCTACAAGGTAGCTCACGTAGGGTGTCTTGAAACGCCAGGCCCGGGTTGTGTGATCGAGATCACAGAGAACACCCAGAGAAAGAAATGGGAAGATGGTGCTTTATTATATTCGCAGTCTCTGGTGGGTGGGGCCCTCGTCATCATGGGAAGAGATCACACAATTACCTTGCAAAGTCTAGGTCTGAATGCGACGTTCACGGGTTAGAGTGACACTTGGATGCCATGTTTGCACGCAGTGCTCGGACCTGCCTCAGTGAGTGCCTTGTGCATAAGCGTGGGCAAAGCTCACTGCACCCAAAACCCAATGACACGCCTCACTTCTAAAGTCGACTGGTGTGTGGTCTTTTTCGTCATCAACTGTGCAAATAAAAAGCAAAAAGAAGGGAAGGCAGAAAAGGAGACGGGGAGAATAAAGCAGGATAAATGATTCAAATCACTCTCCCAATACAGTTGCCTTGCGGGTGTCTAAGAGCCGGCGACTTCGTGGGCTCCGCTCCCGGAGAAAAATCAGGAACCTCCCTGATTACAGAACCACCGTGGATGTGCAGTTGTGTGGCTCGAAACCATAAACAGTTGGGCCATTTCACTGTGGTTTAGTACTGAATAGGAATTTGGGCGTATAAAAATGTGAAAAGTGCTACCCCACGGAAAAGCCATCGCACCTTAAGAATAAACCCGGGGCCACCTCTTTACGTTTTCCGGGTTCTCAGAGCATGTTTGCCTGCAGTACCTCGCACAATCTTGACAAGAGAATCAGAAATCCAGTAGGGGCTGAAAAACGTAGAATCTGTTTTCCTACAATATATAAATACTGGCATTTTGTACAAACAACAAATCACAGCCCGTTGGGTCAGGAGTTTTCTAGTTTCTTTTCCTTCTTTCTTTCTTTCTTTCTTTTCTTTTTTTTAATATTTGCATCCATTTGAGAATCAATGTGGAGCTTTAGAGATTTAATTATTGGCTATTCACTGAATGAATAAACTCCCCGTCCTTAATAACACATGGAAATTATGGCATCCTGCTGATTCTTCCAAAGGCCTCCCTTTATGGGCGATCTTATCATATCAATGCATTGATTTAACAGTGTAGACAGCAGTACTGGATATTCGGAATTAAAAATTCCACTCTGATACCTCAGTTTTTTAGATTGATCTCTCTGCATCACCCAGGTAGTGCAGGTGATGACCAGGTACAAATGGACTTCACTGCCAAAAACAGTTCTGAGTACCTAACTATGCTCCGGGCATGCTTTAGATGTTAATGGTTGCAAAAGACACAAGAATTCCTAATTTCGGGACAAGTGTCTACTTGGAGGCAGAACATGGACTCTCCCAAGGTGTCTCCATCCTAAACCCTGGAACCCGTGACTCTCTGACCTTCCATGGCAAAGGGGAATGAATTTAGCTTGCAGGTGGAATTATATTTGCTCATCAGTTGACTTGAGGATAAAGGGAGCATAAGTTGGATTACCTGGGTGGGCCCAGTATTTAAGAGCAAAGACCCTCGATTAGGGAACAGGGAGACACAAATCATCAGAGCTCATGAGCAACAATAAAGAAACATCTAGCCTTCCTGGCTTGGAGGATACCAGGAGGCAAGGACTGTGGGCCGCTTCTAGACGCTAGAAAAGACCAGGAAATGGATTCTCCCCGAGGGCCCCAGAAAGATGCCCAACCACACTTGCCACGTTGATTTTAGCCCCATGCAACTCTGAGCTACAAAACTGTAAGGTAGCACACGTTGGCTGCTCTGGGAAGCGGCGACGTTTGTGGGGGTGCATTAGAATCCTATTTGAAATGCACAGTCAAGTCCCTACCGTAATTGAAAACAAAGTAGTTGCTGAAAAAATTATATTGTTGTGGGCCTTCCTAACCCCTACCCTTCCTGAGACTCTTCTTTGTTTCCCTTTCAACCTCAAGTATTATTGATAGAAAAACGCTCTTATCTTAATGCTGGGTGGTTAAAATGCGCTGCTTGCCGCGTGGGTGGCAAGAAGACAATACCAGCCCCGGTTTGTGGGCAGACACTTTGCAGGTTTGAGGCATTAAGATATAGTGCATGCATCCAACCTTTTTGTCCGCTGGGTTATTACAGCGTCAGGGCAAATCCTGCTAAATGCCATATTTAGGAAATACGGTGATTTTACATGGGGATGTCATAAAGGGACATTTAAATTTACCCAGGCACCTAAAACAAATTTCCAGAGTCAGTGTCCACGGAGGACCTACAGCAAAACATCAAAGTTGTCCTCTTAGGTCTTAAATATCACCCACCACGTCAGCTACACCTCTCAATGGCTTCTTGTCCTATTTGCACCTGCGCTAGCTCAATATTTTGGGCCCCCCGCTCTCTCTCTCTCTAGACCTCAAGATCTGATCTGTTCCGGGCAGGGTGACTCTTTGTGCTAGTTCTTGTTTGTTTGTTTTGTTTTCTTCAAGCTTTTTAATGTGAATTTGGTTCCCTCCTCCTGCTGAGCTTATAGGAATAGCTCTCAGAACATGACTGCTTGGGTTAGAAATGCCATCTTCTCCCCTTGCCAGCCGAGGGACTCCGAGGCAGCTCCCTTGGCTTGTCTGTGCCTCCCATTTCCTTCTGTGTCCGACTGAGAAGTGCCAGGAGGTTAAGGCATTCATCCACGTGGAGGGCTTTACCCTCGTATCCTGCACATGGAACCTCTCTCTAGTCCCATACTCGTGGAACATAATTAATCATCGAAAAGGGAACCAGAAGGTACCAGAGAAATTGCATGTGCACATGGGGTCTAGTATAAATGTCAGCCCCGTGCATAATACATGTTTCCTGTCTAGAACATAATTATTTGCTGCAATCGTGCAGGGGTCTGCTTAAGGAATAAGACCAAGGGACCATCATTTCTGCCAGGACTGAGTATGGCTTTAACAAAAGGGAATTTAGAGGGAATACAATTTTTTTTTTTTCAAAGAGCAGAGAATTATTCTGCTCTGCTTTATTCCTAAGCTTTGTCTTTTTCAGCCTCAGTTGTGAAATGAATTTCCAGCATCCTATGTGAGTTATAGAAATTAATTATCAAGAAAGCATTAAAATTCATTTCTTGGGAGAGTGCCTTAGAACATCCAGAGACAATAGTACTCTTTTTTTTTTTTATGTGAGATAAAGGAGAAATTAATTTCCTTTCTCTTCTCATCAAGTCACAGGTATTCCAATTGTATGCAGATACTGGCAGAATCCAGGTGACAAAGTAAAACTTAAGTGAGTTAACACAGTGAGACAGATGTTTTAACCCATCCACATCAGCATGCAGCGATGTGAAAACAGTTTGGTGATTGCCGTTTTCATGTGTCACCTGGATGTTTGACGTTGTGTAGACGTAGCTTGTGAGGGAAGATAATTATGAAAGATGATGGAACAAATATCTCCCTGACAGGGATTCACTGAAAGGAATTTAGTATTTTGTGAAGACAGTTCGACTGGAGTGGATTTCTGAAAACATGCATTTTTCCATCAGCTCAGAAGATTTTGCCCATTTGAACATGGAATCTTACCCTTATTGACAGTTGAGCAATTGTGTATGTTTAGAAAATACTATTTGGGTAGTGTGAATTATACTTGTTTGGAAAATAGAGCAAAATCATTCCCTAAAAAGAGACTGATCCCTTACTTTCCATCAGATGGACTGTAACTCCATCCCATTTGCAACTTAGATGTTTCTCACAATTAGAACAAGTCTCAGTTACGTAAAATGTGTTAAAAACCCGACTCCCCATATGGT